TTTTTTTTAATTTTCTACATACTATGTTCACTGTTGGAGCATGGAGACTGTTTGAATGAATTTGGAACTTTACAGAGGGATCAAGGAATGAATTTTGAGTGTTATTAAGACCCTAAATTGAGTAAAGTTTAATTCTAAGTTGTCGGGACAAACAGTGTAAAAATTAAGGCACTTAACAAATGGAAGTTGAATTAATTGTTGAATTAAAATTCAGCAATTTGATGGAACATAATGTGTTTATAAAACTTGTTGTAGAGTGCATTCAAGTGCATGATAAGTTCATTTAATTATTAATTTTGATCTATGCATGCTTAGGAGGCTAGTTGCTGAATTATTAAATTGTTTACTGCAACTATATGGTTAAATGCTTGGATTTAAATTGCTGAAGCTTTAAATATTTTTCTGCAATTGTTTGGATGGTAGTTGTTGGTCTGTAAATTATTGAACTGTTATATATGTGGTAATTTACATGGATATGGAGGATGGTATGTACCGGTATGGGACGGTGACATACTAGGGACGGTTTAGCTCAAAACGCATAAACCTAACCTAATGGATTAATGGAATGGATTGAAAGATATCGAATCCTAATTGTGACTAAGTCAGATCAGCTGTAAACAAGTTGGATGACTTCCTGGATTAACGGATGGTAGTTAAGTCCTATCAACTGAATAAGTTGAATGACTAACTAGTTGGTTTATTGCATGACAGTTTAATAAATAGTTGAACTACATGCCCTGGATTTGGATGGACTTTATATATATGGTTATGGTACCACGAGTTGAGCTTGAGTCTCAGACTCGTTGGTTAGGGTGCGTATATGCAGTGGATGCGTAGCTGGTTATAATAGGTTGAGGTGTACCCTGTTAGGTCTAGGTACTCATGCCCACCTTTGGGTGCGTATTCGCATGTTGCCTTCTATTCAGGTTGAGACCCCTATTATAGACTAGTGAATGTCCCTTAGTGTGGATGTATTTATACGTATGGACTAGATAGATATTGTGAGGTGTCTACGGTGTATCTGCGTATCGGGTCACTGTATGGATTGCAGTTAGATTAGAACTTGCTCGTGGGTCTGACCCACTCCTTTATTATTCTTTTCAGGTACAGGACGGTTCCAGCCTTAGAGCTTGATCGTGCTTGTCGAGGACAGTCTCACCTTCATCAAATTACGTAGGACTTCTCTCGATATTTCTAGCATTATCTATTTTCAGTTTTCAGTTTCAGTTGAACTTTTGGTTAGGGGTCCATCAGTGGATTCCCAAGTTGTTACCCTGAAGTTTTGGAGGATTGGATTTTCGATTTCCAGTTATACATGGAGGATTTTATAATTAATGTTACTTTCAGTTTTATTCCATCACTTTTGTTTCATTTTGTCATCTGTGTTCGCTTTAAAATACTTTAATTGTTTGATATTCCCTCGGGTTTGGGCCTGGGCTTGATCAACCCGTGTCTCGGATCCGAGGGGTATCACAAGACCGAAGGATTGATTCCCGACATATCTGAATGGGTCTAGGCGAATGTATCTGCATTCCTTCGGATGACATCAACTAATATCTCCTTCTCTTCGGTTGTGGGGAAAGAACCCATATAAGTGACTTTCTATGGATTGTCGAGGATAACTTCGACAGCTTCAAGAGATTCCTCGGTGGGATTTGTAGCTTGAGCTTCAGCTTCCAAGTACTTGGGCAGAGGACTCTGTAATTGCTATTTAGAAATATCTTCGGGGGTCGTACCTGGTTTGGATAGCTTAATCCCTTTCTTTGCCTCATTCAATGTCAGCATGTAGTATTCTTTTGCAGTAACTTGATCTCCCCAAAGGTTAATGACTTCTTTTTCGTCTGGAGATAAGCATCGCATCACCTGATGAAGAGTAGATGGTACTCCATTCATTCAGTGGATCCAACCTCTTCCCATAATGAGGTTGTAAAAAGGATGAATTTTTGTCAGAACAAAGTTTTCCTTTAGTGTCCTCTTTATTGCAGTGATTGATAAATCGATTATCCTAATGCGGTCAACCTTTGTCCCATCGAACCCCATCAAAGGACTGGAGGTTGGCTAAATTGACGATGATGGGATCTCCAACTTTTTCAGAGATTGCCTTTGTTATAATATTGGCGCTGCTGCCTGGGTCTACTATGATTCTTTTAATCATGCAATTTGCTACCAGAAGACTGATGACAACTAGATCTTCATGGGGAAGCTGTACTCTAGATAAATCTCCATTTTCGAACCCAATAATAATACTGCTCGAAGCAACAGTGTTTACTGAGGATAACTTCCTTAGCTTGTGGGCTGCCATCAACTTGGAGCTGTACACCTCTTCTGACTCTTGGTCTTCCTCTGACCTCCCATGTATTGCATGAATGACCTTTACTTGATTCCCTTCTACTTTTCGAGGATTGACTTCCCTTAGCCTTGCCTGTTCTTGTGGTGCGAGGTAATCTGCTAGATCTTTTCTGGTTATTATATTTTTCACCTATCGCCTAAGGGATCTGCAATCGTTAGTGGTATGCCCATAATCTCTGTGGTAGGCACAGTGTTTGCTTTTGTCCCTTTGCTCCAGGGGTTGCCTTATTGTTTAAGGGGCTGTAAATCTTGCTTTGTTCTCTTGGAATAACTGAGCCAATATGGTACGAAGAGCAGTGAACCTCTCCTCGGTCCTTTGTCTTTTCTCAGGTATTTGGGTGATTGGTGCTGAGTCATGTTGGCTTCTTTGATTTTTTAACTTGAAGCTTTTTCCAGAGGCTTATTTTTTACCGTGACAAGGGTGGCATGTTGTGCTCGGCGGGCTACATTTTTCTCAAGTCGAATGTAAATTTGTGCCCTAGTATTGAGAGCCTGCATGTCTAGAGGGGAATATTTGACTAGGGAGGTATGAAACTTGGTTCCCTGGATCATACCGATCTTGAACGTTGCTATAGCAGTCTCAGGGTGACAATCTGATATCGCCGAAAACTTCATGTTGAACCTGGATAAGAAATCCTGTAACGTTTCTCCTCTCTTCTGCCTTATAGTGAAAAGACTAGCGATAGTCTTCTTCTGCTTCTTATTTCCGCAATATTGTGCTAGGAACATAGCGCACAAAGTTTCGTAGTTCGGGATAGACTTGTGTGGCCTATTACTGAACCATTCCACTCCCGTTAGACTAGTTGGGAAGACTTTACACATGAATGCATCGTTATCGTTGTCTAGAGCCATCTTCTATGAGTAGTGATCGAGGTGACGGGAAGGATCTCCTGTGCCATCAAACTGAGTGAAGGACGGCATAGTGAATTTCTTAGGTCTATTGACATAATATATATGATCAGTGAATGGAGTCTTCACTAGAGAGGCCTTATGCTCTCTGGCCATCTCGGCTGGCGTCTAAATCCTCAGGAGCTTCTTTTCATCAAAAGCCTTCTGAACACCATCCTGAATGCCATTCGTCCATACTGTGAGCTTACGGCTGGATTCGGTCTGTTCGTCTTGTGCATGATGAAGGTGATTGTCCGAAGCGACTATCTCGGTTCTCATCCTCTGCTCTTGCTGAACTTCGTTAGGGCGAACCTCGTTGGCATGAGGTTCATTAACAGGAAGAATATTGTGGTTGGGGGGTGGTCCCGCTGCATCACCTGGTGGTGGTTGTGGTGCTATCTGTGCCATAGCTGTCTAGAGGGCGTCATTCCTTTGCTGAAGTAACGCAATCTGAGCTAGCCTCGTTCGCTTGAACTCTTCTCACATCTTTTGCATTAGTTCCATCTGTTGATTGGTTGCGGTTAAGGCTCATCCGATTGACATTCTAGATCGTAGTAGCATAAAAGATTTTAGATCACTCGTGGGGGTATATTTCTTTTCTTTTCCCACAGACGGCGCCAAAGTGTAGGTGCAAGAATTCATTTAACTAAGAAAACTAAAAGAATAAATACAACTAAGAAAGTTAAAAGAAAGCCTCTATTTATATACAAAAAGATAGTCGATTTATGATAGGATTCGCCTTAGTTGTCCTCCAATGAATTCCATATATCGTTGTTTACTTTATAAAGCTCTTTCCTTCTTTCCCATGCAGGGCTTCCTTATATGAAGAATCATTTGTCAAAGGGGACTCAGTTAATCTGAATGGCCTAGATTATAATGTAAATGGGCCGAATGAACCTTTAGCAGGCTGGGAGGTTAGTATTAGCCATCTTGGACCGATTGTGACCTTATTTGGGCTTGGCCATAATTGGGCTCTGATGGGTTATGAGATTGTACCTTTTCTTTTAAATGACGTGGACGATACTTATTGGAAGGAGATTTTTCCCTCTACACACGTGTTTTAAAATATTATTTCATCCACTGAATAAATAGATAGAGAACTCTTAAGATCACATTACTTAGGTTTCAAAAATCTTTAGAAATATTAATTTTAATTTAAAAAAATATATATATATGAAAGGGTTAATATTTGAAACAAGACACATTAGTAACAAGATACTTGAACCAACATTCATAATAGTAACAATATGAGGCTCCCATGCAATTTCCTGCTGTAACTTTTAAATGGTTCATATTTGGCTCATCATTCTTCAGCTAACGGACACTAAGGTTGTGTTTGGCCAATTGCACTACTATTTATAAGTAACATTTCACCACCATTTATAAGTAACATCACATAGTTTAAAAAGTAATGTCACATATAAATATAACTCAATTCAACATATCATTTATGTTATTATTTGGAATTAAAAGTAGTGATATTTTCTTTTACAAATGGTGATATTACTTTTTAGACTTCTGTGATGTTATTTATAAATGGTAGCACCATTTATAAGTAACATCACAGAAGTTTAAAAGTAATATCACATGGTTTAAAAAGTAATATCACTATGTTTTGAGGGTGAAAGATACTTATAAATGGTGGGTGATGTTACTTTTTTTATTATGTGATATTATTTTTAAATTTTTGTGGTGTTACTTCAAAATAGTGGTAAAATGTTACTTATAAATAATAGTGAAATTGTCTGTACTAGTGTAGTGGAGGAAAATGTGACCAAACTAAGACCACTTCTTCTTGCTCACTGTAAGAAAATATCCTCTTTGCAAGCCCGCCGAACACCTTCCATGTAAAACGGACAGTTGAATCCGAGAGAGAGAGAGAGAGAGAGAGAGGAGAGAAAATGAACGTCTTCTCTTCTTCTTCTCCTCCTCCTTCCCCAAACCCGAAGTTCACACTCTTCTCTCCTTCTCAAAACGCTAACACCTCCAAATTCCACTTCAAATTCCCATTCAAAACCTTTAATTACTCTCCTTCATCTCCTCTCCTACCTCCACTCTCTTCAAACGAATCATCATTATCACCACTTCTCCAAGAAAAACCTCAATCTTTGTATGATGACGATATCAATGGAGTCACTGAAGACACCGGAACTACTAGCAGACAGTCTCTGGAGGAATTACTCGTTGTTCGTCGGCCGGTAATGGAGAATACCGGCGAGGAAGAAGCGGATGACAGCGAGACCGATGAGAAAGATTATATAGAGGAAAAGTCGTCTTTGGCGTCTCCAATCGATGCCGGACTTTCAAAATTTGCTAAAAAGATGCCCATTTTTGAGCCAGCGAGAGTTCAATCGAGCTCGGAAGAGAAGCCGCTTACGGTGAATTTGGATTTGGCGTTGTACAGAGCGAGGGTTTTGACGCGAAACTATCGGTATAAAGAAGCAGGGGAGATTCTTCTGAAGGTGCATTGTGATTTTTAGGTTTTTCTCCATTAATAGTTTATGTTTTAAAGTCATTTATAAGTAGTTTTGGTGGGTCTCTTTGCTCTTTACCCTCTATACAAACTAATGTTCCATTTCTAACAAATGCATCCTCTCATTGCATATGTTCGTATCACCTAAATATGCTTTTTCTTATTTTTATGTAATAGAGCTACTTTGTGATTGATTTGTGCAAAATTTTAGCACTGTTGCTGACAATTTGTGTTTTTTATTTTGTGATGTGTGAAGTGTGTATATTATTGGCCAGAAGATGGGCGGCCATACGTTGCCTTAGGTAAGATATTTAGCAAGCAATTGAAAGCAGCTGAAGCTAGAGCTGTATATGAAAAAGGCTGCCAGGCAACGCAGGGTGAAAATCCCTACATTTGGCAGGTTAGTCTCACTCTAGTCTTCATAGTTGCATTTTGTGCTGAAGTTGGTTGCTAATTGAAAATCTTTACATAAATGTGAACATTATTTTAGCTGATATGATTATCATAATTTTGTTCATGGGGTCAAAAGAGTCATTACTCAGTGTGGTCCCTGTTATTCTGGGTTCTAGGAGGGGTGGATTGGATACAAACATAAATTTTGTTATTGTTTGCACAAAGTGGATGCTTTCAGGATTAGGATTGGAACTGAATTCTCACAGTTGACAGCCCGAGCATTTTACCATTGCACTAAGCAATGTCCCATCTTTATAATATTGTTAATGGGTTTAGTGCAATCCCTTTCTAATTATATGATCCAATTCAACTCTCTTCAACATTTCTTTCAAAAATCATGTTGCAAGAATACATTGCTGTAATTAAGCTTATTCAGTTCACAATTGCTGCTGAGGTTAGATATTACACTGGATTTTCTACTCCCATTTCCCTTGAAACTAATGGGAGCATAGAAGAGACTTCAAAACCATTACAACCTTTGGTCTAAAGCTACTTGGACCTTCTAGGTAATAATTTGGATAACGCTAATCATAAATTTCACTAAGCAAGTAATGGTGGATCATTTCTCTTTGAATCTCAACTGACGAGTCCAAGCACTTGGTTGGATTTCTTTATATAACAAGGCCATGATGATGATATGTTTGTTAAACACTGTTTGAAATCCAACTTGGTTTTAGTTGTTTAGGCTGTGTCCCCTATCCAAAATCCTTGTCCACCTCAAGCACATATTAGGTAGCTTGCCAGTGTCCCTAAATTTGGAGTTATCTCAATATTCACCGATAATTGTAATTAGGATTAAGAACATCATGTCAGACATCCTCTGTAAACTAGTTTTTCAGATGCAGTCAATTGCATGTAAACAGGTTAGGTACATTGTTTTTTCGCAGACTGCACGTATTCTCATCCTTTTGTTTCTATTGTGTTAGAAATTTACTTGGACTCGTTCATTTGGAACAGTGCTGGGCTGTTCTGGAAAACAAGATTGGTAATATAAGGAGAGCTAGAGAATTATTCGATGCTGCCACAGTTGCTGATAGGACACATATTGCAGCCTGGCATGGATGGGCAGTCTTGGAACTAAAACAGGGGAATGTAAAGAAGGCAAGGAGTCTCCTTGGTAAAGGTCTCAAATATTGTGGTGGAAATGAGTATGTATATCAGACACTTGCATTACTTGAAGCTAAAGCAAATCGGTATGAGCAGGCTCGATATTTATTCAGGCAGGCTACTAAATGTAATCCCAGAAGCTGTGCCAGTTGGCTTGTAAGTGGACTTCTTTAGGCAACCTTGTGGTGAGGATGATTTCAATTTCATGCGCCCTTCTTTAACAAAGTCTGTTTTGTCGTGTTTTTCTACTTCATTTTGTACAGGCATGGGCGCAATTAGAGATACAACAGGAAAACAACCGCACTGCTCGGCAACTTTTTGAGGTTATTTTTTCACTACCTTGATTTTGGTGCTAGCATCATTATTATTTCCTTTTGATTTTACGGGAACCCCATTTCAAGTTCTTTCATATTCATCAAATGCATATTAGTTTGATTTGTTGTACTTTTGCAGAATATTACACCTCTTCCCATCAGATATGTAATACATTGCTCTCTGTTGTAAATTTCAGAAAGCAGTCCAGGCCAGTCCCAAGAATAGGTTTGCATGGCATGTATGGGGAGTCTTTGAAGCTAATCTGGGCAATATTGACCAAGGAAGAAAACTTCTGAAGATTGGTCATGCACTGAATCCTAGGGATCCTGTTCTCCTTCAGTCTCTTGCTTTATTGGAATACAAATACTCAACTGCAAATGTTGCTCGAGTGTTGTTCAGGAGAGCATCTGAATTGGACCCAAGACACCAACCAGTATGGATTGTAAGAGACTTCTCTAATCCTGATCTTATTCAACCAAACTTTCTTTAATTATACATTGTATTTCTATTGTTGGAGACTTCCTAGGTGGGAAGTTTTTTCTATGCATGATGTGAATAATCTCTGCTAGACCTGTGGAAAATCAGCTAAAGTAGAAAACCAAACAAATTTCACTCTGTATCTGAATTCTTGGTTTATAGGTGCTTTGAGTAAGTGGGTTTTGCGGACCAACGGTCTAACACTAACCATGAACTAGGATTTGGTCATTTCCTAACTATTTCAAGATCAAATTTGATTGTCAAGGTAAACATGACTTCAGTTGTATATTCTTTGGACAAAAATTAAATAGAACTGGAGGGTGATATACCGGATACTTTGAGAGTTTAGGGATCCTATTTGGTCCTTGTGTAGCTTTTGCGGGTGCGTTACCCATATAAACAGTGTCTAATAATAAAAAAGAATGGAAAAGAAAAAATGTACCGGAGGGTGATATAAAACCAACTTAACATGTAAGCCTTTTCCAGTCAAGCAAGCACAGACAAGATGTTAATAAGGCACTTGCTGCTGTACACTGAAGAGGCCTGCACAATCAAGCCAATTCACACTGAGTCATATAATTTTAGTTTGTTTTGCCATTGAATGTAAATAACATGGCGAAGTGGGTCATACTTTTTACTTTCTAATTGTTAATCTGTGTTTGTGTTTCTTTGTGGTTTTTCCTGCCTTCATTTTTAGATTTTTACCATTTCACCATCTTATCATCAATTCTGAGTTCACATTTCCAGTAAAAGTAACATCCTGTTTTGCTTGTTTTGTCTTCACTGCTGACTGTATCTGCGTGCTGCATTACTGTGATGGGGGTGATAGGGTGCATACATGTGGATCAACCAAAAGCTAATTATATTTCTTGGTCTGATATAGGCTTGGGGGTGGATGGAATGGAAGGAAGGAAACATTGCCACAGCCAGGGACCTATACCAAAGAGCATTATCAATTGATTCAACCACCGAAAGTGCTGCTCGCTGCCTCCAGGTAGTGTCCATATTGTAAAGTGATAGGCATTGTTTCTTGTTTCTTTAGGCAGGCGGTGTGGATTATATAATTGCTGTAAATGATAACAATAATGTTGTATACAAGTAAAGAAAATAGATCCTAGACTTTGGTTGTTATTGCTATGTATTGCAGGCTTGGGGTGTTTTGGAACAGAGAATTGGAAATCTATCAGCTGCTCGGAGGCTATTTAGATCTTCGCTGAACATAAATTCCCAAAGCTATGTAACATGGATGACGTGGGCATCAATGGAGGAGGATCAAGGAAATTCTGTACGCGCTGAGGAAATTCGTAACACCTATTTCCAACAGGTATTTGGCCTGACCTACTCCACTCATTCAGTCATAACAAGTATTTCTCCAATGCCAATAATGACTACGTCAAATGATCCAACCATCCAAATATATACTTCTTTGAAATCATTTACTGTTTAATTCCATGTATTGCATGGTAGCACTATTTTGTTATAAGGTTATTATATTGTTTAGCTAGAGAGATCTCTGGTGCTGCAAAAATATATGAAATTGCAATATAGTTTTATGAAAACTGAGGCCAAGACCTGATTAACTATTGTATGCAACAGCGTACAGAAGTTGTTGATGATGCTTCATGGGTTATGGGGTTCTTAGACATCATCGACCCTGCAATTGATAGTGTAAAGAGACTCTTGAACTTTGATCAGAACTCATATTACAAGGCAGAATATTCTTCAAAAAACATATTAAGGGGCGATGACAATAACACTGGAGAAGAATCAGTTGGACCTTCCTCAGATTACATTTATTATAGTGCTGCCACAATTGGAACTGGTTTTAATGTAGATTCATTCGTCCGTGAGAAGTTATCCCTTGATACGTCAAAACTGGACGTTCAGATGGAAGCATCTCAGAGACTAATTCAAAAGAAAGTAATATCTCCAAGAAGGATTTGGAGATCAGAGAGCAGGAGTGGCACAACCAGTAATATGATCTGACCATTTTAGTCTGTCGTAGTAATGGTGAAAGCAATCAATCGATCAAGTTCATGATTGATCTAGCATTCAGATAGATAAAACATGGATCTTAAAGCAAGTGAGCATGTTAACTCCTGCTGGAGATTTGTAAAATTACTAGGTTACATCAAGTGACTGGCGGATCTGTACGCTGTCATTGTAACAATATCAGGTAAGTACAAATGCCGCTAATCAAAGAAGCATTTGTAGAATGTGATTTGTATTGCTTTACGGGATTCAGCATATGGTTTGTAAATCTTGAAGGGAGTGAGCATGTAAACAATTTTTTACGACCTATTCCGAGAGAAAAAAGAAAGATATTCTTAGTTACCTGCTTTTTTCATCGATTTCTTAATAACGGTGGCTAAAAAAGCTGAATTTGAGGCATTAGATATAATGAACTGCAATTTGTCAGATATCGTAGACCTGCAATTTGTCAGATATAGAATAAGACTTTGATATAAAAATGTTATAGAAAATGAACAATAAGTACAGCTTATAATTATATTCAACATCCCATTGAAGCAATGTAACATAATGATAGGTAATGATCATGGCTAGGATTCTTCCTTAATCTCTCCAGTGCTGTTGAGGTTGCCAAGACAGTCTTGCAGTCGGCTTAACATAAACACCGATGGATTCGATGACGGATTGTCTGCCTCCATACTGAACGCTGCTACCATGAAATCCGCCAAATGCACTTGTCCTCTCCCATTTGAATGTTGAAGTTGTGCTTCATGGTCGGGCTTCCAAAAGGTCCATATGTGCCTCTGTTGGTACCCAATGGAGTCCCGTGTTTTTCTGACAGTACTAGAGTTATTATGATCTGTTCTTGTAGTCCCAGAAATAAGATCTAACTATTTTAGATGGTCGATCAAATTCATGATTCTAATAGCATTGCTAAAAGATAATTAAACACATATCTTAAATGTACATGGAGATTTGTAAATTTACTACGAGTACATTTCATCAAGTGATACACCGAAACATCTATACAATGTAATGGTAAACAATATCAGCTGAATACATGTATTACTTGAATTGTAAATCTTGAAGGGTGGTCTTTCACATATTGCGGTAACAGGGACTGACCACTGTGCTATTATGCTCTGTATTTGTTTCCGTTTTTTCCTAGAAAAGCTTATCAGTTTCATTTTGGATGATAAGCAATGCAATGATATTGTCAATCAAGTTTTGGGGGAAAATGTAAGAGGTTCACGGTTGTAGAATGGGCAGAAAAAAATTAAAAGTGTAAGAAAGAGTTAATCAGATGGGCTCGATCAAAGCAGTCTAATCCACACAAACACATTGATGAAGCAGAGCGACGTCTCAAGCAGCTTAGAGAATCAACTTCCGATTATGATCCTGAACAGGTTAGAAGTGTTGAGCATCAACTTTCATCTTTTTGGGAATATATTGGTGTCAGAAGTCTAGGGTGTAGTGATTAAAGTTGGGGGATTCAATGAAGGCGAATGCTCGATGTAACCAGGGGCGTGAGGCAAAAAATAAAAAGTGGCCCTTAATGCCCTATTATAGGCAAATAATAATAATAATAATAATAATAATAAAATGCCTATAATAGAAGGACTAATCAGTTATTTCTTTCTTCGCTCCAAAGATGCCAATAGGGCTTGTTGTAAAACCCGTTGTCGGACTTGGTTAATTGCCCTTTGTTGTTCAAAATTAATGGTTTCATTTTGTAGTTTTCTAATTGTTCCAAAGTTGCCTTTTCATATCATAATATTTAATTTATTAAGTATTAAATAATAATTAATTAAAAATTATCCTTCTTGCTTTTTGAGATACAAAATTACTAATTAAATTCTTATATTATGGTTAAAATATATTTTTCAATAGACAATATAGCCAATCCATAGATAATATTTTATCAATTTTTTGTTAAGCTTTGATTATTAGTTGTAACAAATTTATCAATAGCTTCCTTTTTCTTTTTCTTTTTCTTTTTCTTTTCTTTTTCTTTTTCTTTTTCTTTTTTTTTTTTTTTTTTTTTTTTTTTTTTTTTTTCTTCAGTTTTTCAAATTTGGATTCATACTTTCTAGCCGACATATTCAACCGTATAATATGGGTAAAAATAATCGCAACTCATAAACAAATATACAAATATATATATATATATATATACACACACAAATTTATAATAACAAAAGTTAGTAAACTAAAAAATAATTAAAGAAAAAGAACAATATAACCTAATTTAGAAAGCCCTAATTTAATGTTGCTGCAAATTCTTCAGTACACGAAAAGTGCGTTCAAATGGAGACTAATGAATATTGAGTCGAGATCAAGAAAATTATAAAGTTGCAATGAGAGAGAGCTGAGGAGGGAGAGATAACTTGTAACTTTCAAGTTTGCTGAGAGGGGAGAGAATAAACGTGAAGGAGAAAAAAAAAAAACTAGAATAAGAGAATATGGAAAGTTTTTTACTTCTGCAACGTTCTAACATCTTGAATATTTATTGCAGTGTAACTTATCGAAATATATATATATATATATATATATATATAGTACCGGTGTAAAAAAAAACATGTGTAAAAACAAGTGTATAAGATAGAGAAAGAAAAAAAATATATTATTTAAGAATATAAATATTTAGGCCCATATTAACTGTGTGTGTCAGGGTTTACTAAACAACCGTGAATGAGGAGGAGAGAGAGAAATTCAAAGAAAATAATTGAGAGAGAAAAAAAAGTTATTTTAGGAGATAAATTCTTATATAAGGAAAAAAAAGTTATTTTAGGAGATAAATTCTTAAAGTTTAATTAAAAAGCATGAATGATGATGAGGGGAGAGAAAACAAAAAAAAAAGAAAAAAAAGAAAAAAGTTATTTTAGAACATAAATTCTTTGGAATTAGTTTTTCACAATGTTGGAAACAATTACAATATAACTTATATAAGGAAACTATAATATTTTGGGACCTTTTTATTGGCCGGGGCATAAGGCTCGAGCTGCCCTGGGGGAAAGGGACCATATATATTTCAGGCATTCAAGATCTGAATGGGCAGTGGGTTGAGGAGGAATCGACGGTGTAATCTATATTTTTGAACCATTTTCAAGCTTTTGTTTCAGTCTCAATCTCCCATTGATATTGATAAGTTTTTGCGAAATGCGCCCAAGAAAGTTACTACATAAAGGAACGGATGCCTTCTCTGCCCACCAACCGAAGATGTTAGGAGGGCAGTTTTTGTTATGCACCCGGGTAAAGCTCCAGGACTAGATGGCATGTCTCTCTCTCTTTTATCAAAAGTTTAGGCCTGTTCTTAAAGATGATATTGTGAATGTTGTTAAATGTTTTATACATTTTGGTAATATGTTGTCCATCATCAATGATACAAATATGGTGATGATTCCGATTATGATCCTGAAACAGGTTAGAAGTGTTAGGCATCAACTTTCATCCTTTTGGAAATATATTGGTGTCAGAAGTCAAGGGTGTAGTGTTTAAAGTTGGGGGAAAAAAATTCAAATTTTTTTCAGGCATCTACCATTCAATGAAGGTGATTCAGGGGGGACTAGATGTAACTCAGGCCTCAAGTGACAAATAAAAAGTGGCCCCTTAATGCCTATTATAGGCAAAAATAAATAAATAAATAATAATAATAATAATAATAATAATAATAATGCCTATACTAGAAGGACTAATCAGTTATTTCTTTCATCACCTCAAGATGTCAATATTGGCACTGATGGTATGTAAATGTAACTCGTTATTCAAACAACTATTCAGAGTTCCTAGAGCTCCTTATAGGGCTTGTTGGAAAACTCATTGTCGGACTTGATTAATTGCCCTTTGTTGTTCAAAATTAATGATTTCATTTTTGTAATTTTCTAATTGTTCCAAAGTTGCCTTTTCATAGCATAATATTTAATATATTCAGTATTAAATAATAATAATTAATTAAAAATTATCCTTTTTGCCTTTTGAGATGCAAAATTACTAATTAAATTCTTATATTGTGGTTAAAATATATTTTCAATAGATAATAGCCAATCCATTTAATCTTTCTTATGACATAGTTGATAGTAGATGGTGGTTTGTCAATACCTAGTTGTACAAATGTGTGGTAAAATGTAGTGTGGCTAAGTTTGAATTTATAAAATGCCACTTCCACTACTAACTATTAATGTAGTTAGAGTAAGTAGGGATCGTCCTAAGGAAAATGAACGGTATTCTTGGAATCAATGTTAGAGTGATAGGTCGAATGATCAAAAGATGGTTTGTGGTTGAATTATACTACAACTTAAACTAAATAAATGTAATGTAAAACAACTAAAACAAACGAGGTGTTGAGAATATGAGAGAGGAGTCTTAGGTCATAGAGTTCACCACTCAGTATTACCTTTCTAGACATTTAATATTTGATGAATTAGGAAGATTGTATATTGTAAATGAAAGTGTGCGGCATTAATTGAATTATCAAGTATGGATGGCCAAGTAAGCATACATTGTCTAGCCAATATAGTGAATAGTACAACATATCAAATGAAGCCATTAATCTTTCCATAAGTCCACAATTAATGCACACTCATTAAATTAGAGAAATATACTACTTACATTCATAAGCATGGAACATCAAACAAGTATGGATTGTCCACCTATCTAAAAAGTAAGGCAATTACATTACAACTAAGCTAGTGACATGAAAATTAAACTAATTAAACTAAAGAGGTGGCACAATCCATCAAGAAATAAGTATGAACCATCAAATAAACCACAAGAATAATCTATTTAAGCATCATGCCTTGACCATCACTAGATTCATAATATCAACACACATAGGCATGTATTAATGTCACAAAATCTAGAGATAAATATATGAACATTCATTATAGCATACACAGACATATGGATAGAATTAAATGATCAATTGGAAGTATTAAACTACATAAATCATTGTAGAAAGAAGATTTATATATATATATAAGATGCAAAGACAAGAATTACAACACAAATCCTTATTAATTACAAAACATCAAAGTCTAGGAGGCATGCTTAGATGTTTAGCTCCAAGAGAATGGTTTAGCTACTCATTGATGTTGTCATCCAACCTTCAAGGGCTATCTTCATGGTAAAAATTGACGAGACCGCTTGATATACGCCAAAATAATGTAGTGAATGAGCGGTTCAAGAAAAGCCTTTTGGGTCAAGTTTAAATTTATAAAAACCACTACCAACACTACTACTAACGTAGCAAGAGTGAGTAGGGATCATCCCAAGGGATTATACGTGTTGGAATTTAACTTCAACTCTAGCATATCACAAGATTGCAAAAGAGATTTGATGAGATGATTAAACTACTTCAATTAATG